TAATAATAATAATAATAATAAGGGAGGGAATTCCACACCGAGGGAGCAGCTGTAGAAAAATACCTAACCTATCCACTTTCCTTTTTGTTTTACGAGGCAGAGTCTTGAGTTGTTGTTTTTAATAGATCGTAAATTTCGAGACGGAATATACTCATTTAGTAAATAAGAAAAGTATTGTGTGCCAGATCATTTAAACACTTATAACAACTTATAGCATGCTACTGCAACTCCATGAAGTAAATGCCGACTCAGAGAGCCAATGTAGCTGTAACGGCAATGGTGTTGTGTTTTCTCTTATAGGCCTATACCTTTTGAGAACAACTCTCGCAGCTTTGTTCTGGAGTCTTTGCAGTTTATTCATGAGTTATGTTTGTATGGTTATAACAAATGAATAGCTCTAGTCCATACGAGATAATACAGATGATGACATCAGTGTCTTAAGAGAAATCTCGCTTAAAAGAAGGTACCATTAGTGCAATTCTTTGAATCTCCAAATATGCAGCGTTACATAGATTTTGGACTTAATGGTGCACAGACAATTTGTTGTCAAGTATAACTCTGATTTTTTTTAAAATATTTTTTTGGCCTTTGCTTTGAAAATCACTATCTCATTTTTTTTTAAAACAAGATCAGTCCCACCATTTTGTGACACCAAAGACTTTGGGTTACATAAAATTACTTCGATCGTTTGGTCGTTTAACCTCAGTTCGTTTGGTGCCATTCAAGTCTTGACTTCGTCTACACATTTTGACATGTTTTTGAGCTATAACAAATATACTGCCTGGCTCTGGGGCCATGCACATCTGAGTGTCCCAACGTACATGCAACAGAAACTTTTGTGACTTCTGATAATGGAATTAAGGGGTTTTGTGTATATATAGTGTATAGCAGTGATCCCAACACAGAGCCTTGTGCTATCCCGTCACTTAAACCGTTCATGGTTGACTTTTTCCATTCAAAAGAACAGACTGGACGCCCAGATAAGCACAGTATGACTATAGCCACCCAAGAACAGTCCCAGATATTCGAACTGCCTTTTCTAACTCTCTAATGAAATGGAGTTATCAATAATGTCGAATGGTGCCCTTAAGTCTAACGTTGTGAGCATTGAAGCGCAGTCTACATCTGCTGTACGTCGGATATCAATGTAAACTTTTATCAATGCAGTTTCCGTATTATGTAACGTATTGTACGCAGATTGGATGCACTCCATGAGAACGTTTTCAAGATGAGTATTTTGTTGACGATGGACTACTTTTTCAACCCGCCTCTTATAAAATCTAATAGTGTTGATAGTGGCGTTAAATCTATACCTTTTCTAGATCTATCTTTTCAAGTATTCAAGAAGGAAATAGTAATTGAGACTGGTCTAAAGTTTTTAGCCTCATTTATTGGTAAAACTGTTTCCTTGAGTAGTTGCGCTACTACAGCATGTTTAAAACAAGAAAGCACAGTACCCGAGTAGAGTACGTGACGGGGATACTCGATAAAACTACTCCCAGAAGATAACCGGCCTCACATTTTCTGTATACAGCGCCAAAGTGTCTTACCACTGCACTACGGAAGCCGATCTGGACATACTTGGCACTTCTACTTTTTATTTAATAATAGTACAATGTTATAACAACGATAATAATAACAATGATAATGATAATATTAATAATGATATTGATAATAGTAATGATAATCAATAATAATAATAACAATCATCATCATCATCATCATCATCATCATCATCATCATCATCATCATCATCATCATCATCATCATCATCATCTTTACTTTACTTTACTTTTTACTTTTATCCGCCGCTTATACTCTTTTGGTGTCGCGGGAAGAAAGAGACGTCTCTCTGTCGCCAGCCGGAGAGCTTGGGTTAGGGGGATGCCGTGTGTGGTTAATGTTTCCCTGACTCCATCTGTCCAGGTCTTTCTCGTTCGCCCTCTAGCCTTGTTGCCATCGAATTTCTTGATGAAGGCACGTTGGGTGATGTGTTAGTAATTGCATGAGATATCCGAACCATTAAATTCTTCATCATCATCATCATCATAATAATAATAATGATAATAATAATAATGATAATAACAATAATAATAATAATAATAATAATAATAATAATAATAATAATAATAATAATAATAATAATAAAACAGAATTTGTATAGCTTATATCCCCGCTCCACAGCAAGGTCTATGCGCTTTACACACACAAACACACACACACACACACACACACACACACACACACACACACACACACACACACACACACATGCAGCCGCACACCAACACACTCACACACACACATACGTACACACACACGCACACACACCCACACGCCTAGATTTATTTTTGTAGATAGATATATGCACCAAAATACAAAAAATACCCATAAGCGTTCAGAAATATTGAACTGGCTCTTTGGCTTGGTGTTGGATATTACTCTCGGGAAACATTCTTCGGTCTAAAAGTAGAAGTTTATTTCGAGGAAATAACATAATATAGAGTGCATTGCATCCGTACTTGTCTTGGTTGTTGCTTTTTCAACTGTTTTGCAAAAGTAATGAAAAACTGTGTCTCACTCTTTGCAAAATAATATGTAGCATAGGCATTCAGATATAATAATATTGCACTGATTCTTTGGCTTCGCGTCGGATATTATATTAGTATAGTTCTATTCGTAGGCTTACTCTCTCGTGTTTTTTCAGCTGTTTCACAAAATAATGAAAAAATGTGTTTTAGAGTGAAAGATCGTGTTACAATGAAAGAGCAAGTATTCTATTTGGATAATGAAAGTACGTGTTTTTTAAATCGAAGACTGTTCTTATATAAAAGATCATACTTTATTATGAAAGATCATGTTTTCAGTTCGAGTTCTCAACTACATTTTTTAAATTTGCACCACTATCATCTTTCCAAAAAGCAGCCTGCGAGAATACCTACAGTTATCTCCATTCTTGAATTGTAGAAAGAAGCAGAGGAATCCAGTTTGGGAAAATAAAATATTTGCAAAACAGATGTAAGTGAACTTTGTTTAAAGACTATACATAGGCTATAATACTGATCACATAGCATTGTGAAAGTACCAACTGTCTTCAATACTTGTCGTCAATTTCAAAAGTTGTAGCCTTTCTCTGAAACGTCATGCTTGCGTTTGTCCCTCAGTTACATAGATTTTGACTGAAGCGGTAAAGTTGGATTTTGGGAAACCATAGACTTAAATTAATACTATATTATAGTAACTTAGACCAGGCACTGTCGTGGCCGCCGCTCTTTGTTCATAATAAAAGTATAGCTACACTGGTGCACACAATGGGCACGCACATCGAGGACTAAACACCAGTACCGAAAGAGTCGAGTGTGTGCACAACATTTCCATACTATTACTAGCCCTTCGTTTGATTTTTTTAAAAGAGCCAAAACAGTGCATTCCATAGTGAACCTCCAGTACGTCAGAATGCACGACCTTGGGTAGGCCCTACTGTAAGGTCTATGGGGGAAGCATACTTCTTTTCAAAACAAAATGTATGCGTACTTTATTACTATTTCCTTATTTTGGTTAAAGTATCAGTTTTTTTCAACAGTAAACCTAAATGTCATTATCTATACTAATCTTCATTTCTGTGTTGTTAGCTGTTTGAAGAAACTTTGAAGTTTGTCTCGGGATGTATATGATCTTTGCAACACAACGCATCTTATTAAATGAGTATAGCATTCACTTAGCTTGGGGAAAGTATAGACAGACCGTCTTCAGCAGAGAGTGTGTGTTTCATAACGAACCCCTGAAGTTTTAATTATTTGTCGGTCCCAAGATATTCTTTTACTTTGAAAATGTATACGATATATTAAAAATCAGTATGATTAAACACCTTAATCATTTGAGGAGCTACCGATGTTCTTCCTTTTTCGCTTAATTAACATCGTGAAAGTTACAACTAGCGTCAGCTGTGAATGTGGTTTTCACTTTTTATACGATAAGCCTTAGTCCTGTGTTTGTCCCATGATGTCGGAGATTGGTTGTTGATAGAAGCGGTGAGGTCCGATTTGAGTCCGATTTGCGGAAAACAGAATGAACGCGTACTTTGTTCGAGGAATTTATTTCCCCTCTGAATTTGTGGTAAATACAGCCATCCCCTTAACGCAGTGAATGTAAAATTTAGATTCTTATATTCAAATTCATTTCTGTTTTGTTAATGATAGTTGATAGAACGGCAAGGCCTGCTGTGGGAATATACTAATGATTTGTGGAAAACAATACCTATTTTATTAGTGGAGTTCAATCAACTAAGCCCCGTGAGAGTGTCAACCGTCTCTGGAAACGACTGTGAATTTCATTATAAAAAGCGCTACGATTCCTTCCTGTGTGTTGTTCGCCCCTCAGAAGCAAAGCCTTCAATCCTATGCTTGGAACGTTTCCACATGCACACGATGCAGCTTCCACGTGTGCTTTTGATCCCTTTTACAATCTCTGTCATTGTTGGATGTACATTTTCAGAAGATAACTTTAATACAAGCAACTCGTACTCCAAGGAAGATGGCGGCGTCGCATCCTATTATTATGACTGGAACTTGTCATTGGAAAAGGCGTCTAAAGAGGTATTTAAGTGGGAGGCTGGCGTAACTCAAGGACTACAATTCCATATCGACTATTGTGACCAAAGCAGTTACATTAACGAAGATAGCTCTACGCAGAAAAGGTCTACGTATTGTTTTCAGGATTGCTCAAATTCCAAGTCGTGTTACGTCTACGGTACATGTTGCCCTTTTTATCATCAGACTTGGGCTCAACGAATTTTTGATGAAGTTGACAGACTCACCGAAAATACAACAACAGATCGACCTGAAAGGAATATTTCTTCTAATCACGACAATAGACATTCAGATTTTGTACGCCTTGAGTGCACAGAATTCGATTATAATGATAAGTACCACTTCATCTTCTCGGAATCAAAATGTCCAGAGAGTGAATCAAACAGCACGCTGCGGAACCTATGTGAGGCGAGCCCTTGTGAAAGTCTACAGGGCTGTACCCCTATCTCACGCAAATCCACAGGGATTGTGTATAGAAATGTCTACTGTCTACTGTGCAATGTAAATGGCTACACGGGCCGTGTAGAGACGGCGAGCGATGGGAATGGATATGGGTATATCCTGTCACTCAACAACAGCACGACGGTATATTATTACAAGTGGTCCGTCCAGATTTCTTGCAGACATTACCAGACGTTATACACCATCATGTCAGAGGAAGAACTGTTTCTGAAGTCACGTAAGTTAGACCAGTTGTGTGACATCCGAATCTCCCCTCCCTCGGAAAAAGTTGTACCACCTCCACAGAAGTGTGACCCTGACTTCAACCTCCCCACGGCCCTCGACAGCGGAAGTGAGGCTGGATCTTGTGTGATCAACGATACGAGGCTCATTCACTACTGCAAACATATAACACACCCGGTGTTCAGAACGAGTGAAGGCGGACTGAACCTGTTCTGTTTACTGTGCCAGGGGTTCCAACTCTGGAAGGTTCCGACCTCTGGAGGGCCATTCCCCCCTCCAGGTACTACTGGTATGGCACCACCGCCGGGCTACGTGACCCCAATATCCTTGCTTCTGGGAGTGACCAACAAGATTTATGCCGAAATTACACTTAATGACGTGTGCTCTAACATTACATGGAGAGATAACCAAGACCTGGTGAGCGAATAAACTGTTGATTTGCCCCCCCCCCCCTAACCCCACCTCATTGTTCCTCCCCATTTAACCCTTACAGCCCCAGTCACTTACATATACACGTGTATTTCCCTCACAGGGCACCGCCAGTTCAAACCCAGTTGCGTGTTTTTATCGTAATCTATTCAAATTTCTCAGAATAACATTTAATACACAATGTATAATTTTCTTAAACTTCAAAAAGCCGTGCAGAATTTTTCTTTTCTTTATATGTCCTCAAAAAATAGCAGACCTCATCATTATTGATTGGGCGTGAGGTGTCAAGGACATCAGTATTACCTGGGTCAGAGGGAAGTGAGGATAGACATAGCCCGGAGTTGTAAGGGTTAAGAAACGTTCTTCTCACATGACACCACGGGGACCCGAGTGGAGACCCCGAATATTCACTTGCCCCCCCCCTCTCTCTCTCTCTCTCTCTCTCTCTCTCTCTCTCTCACATACACACACACTCACTCACAAACAAGCGCACACGCACGCACGCACGCACGCACACAAACACACACACATACACACACACACACACACGCAAACACACACACACACACACACACACAAATACACAATCTCCGCTTGCAATTATGCAGCAGGAAAACACCAACACCACTACTAGGCCTGGTGTGTCGACCCGAGGGGCCTACATCTGTGTGTGTGTGTGTGTGTGTGTGTGTGTGTGTGTGTACGTGTGTGTGTGTGTGGGTGTTTGTGGGTATGTGTGTGTGAGTGTGTGTGTGTGTGTGTGTGTGTGTGTGTGTGTGTGTGTGTGTGTTCGTCTACCAATCCTCTCGACCACATTGACGAAGGCCAAAATATTCACTTTTTAAAAAAGTTCAAACGACTGGAATTTTCTTTAAAATTGACATGTCTATTTTTTTAATTGCAAAAATGAGGGTGGTCACGAGCAAATGGACACATTTTGAGGCGCTGGTTTTAAAAAAAATTGGCTTATTATTTAGATCCACCCAATAAGTACATATTTTTAATCGATCCATGCTCGAACCTCCAGTAGGCCACAAAGGTACAGTCGCCGCGACGGTGTCTCAAAATTTGCTCACAGAAGCGGTCGCTGAAACACCGCGAAGGTTCCGCAACGGTTTCTGTAGCGGCATCCCGTCTCATGAGAACAGCTGCAAGTGACCAAACACAAAGCAGCGTTTTCCAAAACACAGTCGACGGACTTCTGTTATTCGTCGCCGTTCCGTCGCTGCGCACCGCTCCATGTGAATTGGCTTTAGGTAATGCAAATAGGGCCTTTTACACACTGAGACCTTTCGGATCTGTAAAATTCAGGAGAAAAAAAAAGAATAAGGTGAACTTGATGATCACTTTTTAAAATAAAAAACATAATTTTTATTGAAATCTTTTCTTGTTCGCGGCTCGAACAGTCCGAGCAACACTATGGAAGATAATGAGACACCACGGAATCCCACAGAAGTTGGTGAACCTCATCAAGATCATGTCCGAAGGGACAAGTTGCAGGGTTGTACATGATGGCCAGCTCTCTGAAAGCTTTGACATCAAGACTGGTGTGAGACAGGGATGTTTATTATTACCATTCCTCTTCATATTGGCAGTTGACTGGCTGATGAAGGAAACCACCAGAGGACACAGAAATGGTATACAGTGAAGAATCACAGAAATCGATGTACAGAAAAGTGGGAAGACATGGAATAACATCAAGAGGCTAGCCCAGGATAGAGAAAGGTGGAAGGTGTTTGTCCGTGGCCTATACCCTGGTGCAGGGTGAGAAAGACAGTGGTGATGATGCTCGAACAGTATATCTAGATTTAGCACCGCTGACCACAACAAGGCGCTCGTATCGAACTTCTGGAATCGGATATATGACGGAGAAGCTGCTAGAAGCTTCAGCTTCAATTTTAGCACACCTTAAGGTTGGCTAAACGGAAATGAATCTCTGTCGATGTTGTTGATATGAGAGAATATAAAGTAGCCAACCATGTGTAATTACCCACCAATAAGCTCGGCGTAATATTCTATCTCATTTGCGGAACCGATGCTAAACAGCATGTGCAACAGCAGCATGCTAGCAGCAAGGATTCATGGACGATGGGGCGTTGTTTAGCCAAACACCATTGCCAGTCAACGCCGATGTTAGAAAACATTGTGAACGTCTAAGATGAACCGGCTATCTTAGTGGATTTTAAAATGTTGTCAGTTTATTTATTTTTTTGTACCCGATATTAAACAACGCTTTTTGGGTGTGGGCACAGGATCCATACAATAATTCACAGTATCCCAGCCTACAATGAATCGCTCTTTGTGAGACAATAACGCATTAGTATATTGATTAATTAACCCAGTCTTAACCCCCTTCATACTCTATGAAGACCTAGGCTTTGCATGAGTAAAAGAAGAGTGTAGACGAAATGATATAAAAGCAATCCATTTTGTTAGTATGAAATCATTGTCCTTTTTCTTAACAAACTCAATTACTCGCTTTGTCTCCCTCCACCCCTCCCCCACCCCACCCGGGGAAAACAAACAATACCTCATATGGTCGCTTTTAAACACAAAGGGGATATCCCGAAAAATGCTGTTTTGAGAAAATCGAAGGTAAAGTTTTCGCCCCTTGTTCAGTTTCTTTAAAAGACAAGGAGAGTGTTTTCTATAACAAACAAAATATACACACCAATGAAACCAAACTTATGCTATAGGTAGGGCAATGCCCACTTTGGTGTTGGTCAAGATTTCTGGAAACCCCATGAAATCTGGGTTAGCCCGCTTGTCCTTAAAAGAGGCCATATTATATCTCTCTGTTCATTTGAAGCCTTTTTAAGTGCATTTATATTTCCCACAATCGGTCAGCAGGTGCAGTATTGTATATGTGTGTAGTATATTATATGATTAAAGAACAACAGCAAACAAAAAGAAAATTTAAAATAAAACTGAACTGAGATTCAAACTCTATGAAGACCTAGGCGTTGCGAGGGACGTGCGGCGCGACAGCGTTGTTTCGAATCCTCTCAAAAATGACGACAAAGCAAGTTGAGTGGGCCTGCATAGCCATAGAGAGTTTACGTGGTTGACCTCATAGCTGCGACCCCGTCTAGTACGACATGTATTACAATTACCTCTTAGGGGGGAACGCATACTACTTTTCAAAACAAAATGTATACGCATTTTATTATATTTCCTACTATTTGAGAAAGTATCAGCTGCTCTCAACCGTGAACCTGGATTTCCTTATTAACATCAATCTTCATTTCTGTGTTGATAATTGTTTGAAGAAAAGGTTACGGTTCTTGCAGGATGTAATAGGCCCTACGATCTTTGCAAAACATGCATCTCATTTGATGAGTACAGTATCCACTTAGCTTTGGGACAGTATAAACTGTCTTCAGCAGAGAGTGTGAACTTCATCACAAAACCCTCTTTCGGTCCCCATATATTCTTTTACCTTGAGAATGTAAACGACATAGTTTGCGAAAACAGTATGAAATCACATCTTAATCATTTGAGGAGCTACCGATGTTCTTACTCTTCACTTAATCAACATCGTGGAAGTTTCAACTACCTTCAACAGTGAACGTGGTTTTCACTACTTAAACGATAAGCCTTAGTCATGTGTTTATCAAAGATCAATTGCTGATAGAAGCGGAGAGGTCCGATTAGAGTACCGATCTGCGGAAAACAGAATTCGCTGGCACTATGTCCGAGGAATTTATTTCCCCTCTGAATTTGTTGTAAATACAGCCTTCCCCTTAACGCAACCAACGTGGAATTTAGATTTTTACATTAAACTTTATTTCTGTGTTGTTGATGATAGTTGATACAACGGCAAGGCCTGCTGTGGGAATATATACTATTGATCTTTGAGAAAACAATGCCTATTTTATTAGTGGAGTTCGATCAACTAAGCCCCGTGAGAGTGTCAACCGTCACAAGCAATGAATGTGAATTTCATTATAAAAAGCGCTACGGTTTTTTCCTGAGTGTTGTTACGCCCCCCCAAAAGCGGAGCCTTCAGTCCTAGACTTGGAGCGTTTCCACACGCTCACGATGAAGATTCCACGTGTGATGTTTATCCCCTTAACTATCTCTGTCGTCGTTAGATGTACTTTTTCAGAAGACAACTTCAATATACGCAACTCGTATTCTGAGGAAGATGACAGCGTCGCGTCCTATTATTATGACTTGTTGTTGGAAGATGCGTCTAAAGAGGTGTTTGAGTGGGAGGCTGGTGTTACTGAAAGACTACAATTCCATATCGACTATTGTGACCAAAGCAGTTACATTAACGAAGATAGCTCTACGCAGAAATGGTCTACGTATTGTTTCCCGGACTGCTCAAATTCCAAGTCGTGT